AGCCAGTACCATTTTCTACTGCTTTTTCCACTTGGTTTCTGTTTGCGAGAGGCAGACAAGTGTTGGACTCCGTTCTGTGAACTTCTGAGCCTGTTCACACTCCTACCAAAGCAAAAAGTGCCAGTGCCTCACCACCTCTTTTCCCACAGACGGGGAGCAACCCATCACTTCCAAGCTGTCCTTGGGGCCACTCTGGTGGTGTATTCACAGGCATGGTGGAACTTGCAAAGAATAAGTGAGAAATACTTTCAGTTTGGACTCTTTTAGGTCAGCATGGCTAACCAAGCTTGCTTTCTTTTTTTTTTGTTTTTTTTTTTTTTTCCTAGTCTTTAATTGTATTTCTCATGGCAAGAAAATAATTTATCCTGTGTTGCTAAGGTGCCTGTTGCAGCAGACCTCTGAAGGAACTGCGATCTGCAGGTTGCACACTTGTTTCTTAATTCAGGTCTGCCTTCCACTTCAGAGGAGCTCTGCTCTGCCACTAATTGAGTCTGACAGCAGTTTTCATCCAAGCAACAGCATGAGGGGTGTGTATAGATGTTCATGCCATCAGATCCAGTGGTAGTCTGGATGGCTGTGATATTTCACTAATGTCATCATTGAAGAAGACAAATATATGGCTTTATTGTGCAAATAGGAAACTATTTCTGCAAAGCTTTTTAAAACTCATAAAGAGCTACTTTAGTACTTAAGAAGTGGCTTCTGTTGTAGGTTCTCATGAATTCCCTGTCTTTGCGTTATCATCCTTGTGAGGTAAATATTTTTTTAAGGTATTAAACATGACTAGGATGGCATTACAGAGTGTCAGTCAAGAAAAGGGGTTGATGGATTCTCTGCAAACATCATGAAGTACAGTGTCTCTTTTTGGATTGCTTTGGTATTTTAATAGATGAGGCAGATGTGGTTGAAGGAGAAGTTATAATCACAGAAAGAGATATCCTTGCTTCTGCTTATATGGACAAGAAGCATTCATAGCAAGTGAATGTAACAAGCAGCTAGTAGAAAGTAGACATCCCATGTACACAGTTTCATTAAAAAAAATGCAAATACTGGTTTAAAGATCTCAGATGAACTTGTTGGGTAATCCCTGCTTCAGAATCCCAGGCAAACCCAGGACTGCAGCACCTCAGGCATGTGGCCTGGCTTTTAACAGACTTTGCATATGAGAAAATAATATCCAGGAGGAATCATGAGCAGTTTCTTGTAATGGGGAGCTACGTCTCTAAGCTATCTGTTTCACTAAAAATATAATATTTGTGCTGTTCATGAAAGACAAGCACAGTGTCTCATGGTTGGGTATATTTTGGATATAGCATAGGGTTGGAAAGGACCTTAAGATCATCTGAGGTCATCAGAGGTGTCATTCTTTTTCTGAAGGCTTCCAAAGTTGGTCTGATTGTTGCTTCTGAGCAGGACAGCACATCAGGTATTTTGCTATAAGGTTACCTGATCCACGGGTAATTTAAATTTCCTTACTTTTTTTTTTTTTTCAGGTAAGTATTTCAGTTCGGTTTTTCTCCCAATATATTTTGATTTGGGAGAGGGGGATGAAAGACAGGGTGGAGGGAAAGAGAGAAGAGACAAAATCCTGGATGGCCTTCACATTGAAAACTTAGGCTGACAAAAGTACATTTATTTTTTAATATAAATTAATAACTAGATAAAAAATATATATATATTCCACCTATCTAACTGGTCCTTAACTGATCAGAGACACAGTTCCACAACTCCTTTTCAGCTGGTTGGAGGACCAGTGGCACCACCTGCTGGCATCCCTTGGTGGCAGTAGCGCAGAGCTGCACCCGAATCTGAGGCTAGCATCCCTGAAGTATCTTTACCAAATCTTGTATGCTGACTGCTGCAGTGATGTGGAGATAAAGTGATGGTCCTGCTCTTCAAAAACCCAGTGCCACATTAATCTTCACTACAATTAGTAATCAACCTGGATAAATGACTACTTTGGATAGATCTTCATATACTTAAGTCACAGGAAACTTAGGAACTGTAATTCACTCTCGGTGGATCATGTGGTATAATATATCTGGCACAAGATGTTTCAGACATGGGGAAATACTGTTAAGTAGGTGATTAAGGCTTTATCTTCCCCTTTTCTGCTGCTCAACTTCTTGCTTCTTGTGTGCACATAGACAATGCAAGCAAGAGTAGAACAATGAATCCATAATAATGCTGGTATGCATTCATTTAAAGACAGAAATTAAAAGCATTGTGTCTGTGCCTGTGGCAGGTGGGGCAGAACTAAATGATCTTAAGGTGCTTTCAATCCTAACCTGTGATTCTACAAAATCTATGTTGCTATGTGCTTATTGTGAATGATGGTAAAGAATACTTGTGCAGTTTTCTGAAGCTTCCTGTGCCTGCCAACTGCTTGCCCACTGAGGGGTTTGCCTGAAGGTCAGGCCTGGGGCAGGGAGAAGCAGCAGAAACAAACACTCGAGGGCTCTCACTTTTCATTGGGCTCCCTTTGGTTTCCAAATTGCTGTGGTTCACTTATAAATGCTTGCTGAAAATTATCATGGAAAGAGATGGAAGAAATATTAAAATTCCCATCCTACTTGCTTATGGTTCACTTGCCAGTAACTGAAGATCACACTCTCTATCACTCATCAGTGCAAAAAAGGGCAGTGGAAAAAAAAACCCTTCTTTTGTATTATACATGTCAATTAGTGAACAAATGCTGAGTTAGGGTGGGATATACTTGCAATTTCTAGGTTCATTTGGCCATTATTTTCATGCCAATAGCACTACAGTAGATACAGGAGACCAGTGAGGGGGCTAATACTGAGAGTGCCCTTTGGTGTTAGCATACCACCCTTTGGTGTTAGCATAGCAGAAGTAGCTGCCATCTCTGATTCCTGATTCTCTTTACTCTTAGTTTTTCTTTCCTTTAATGAGTCTTTGAACCAGAGGAAACCTGTTTAATTAAGCAAAAGTTGGTTTCTGATCCTGAAATGAGGCCTGAGGAGACAACCCACAGTTCTGTAGCTACTCATGCTCTCTGTGGGTACCTGGAGATCACTGCTGAGGTCTTGTCAAGTGCAGTCCTGGAACACAGGGAGGAAACACGTTGGTGCTTCTTGGTGCATTCTGTTTGAAATAGGGTACACAGAGAGTGCTGGGAAAGAATCATGTTTTGGAAGCTGATGCTTAGCCAGGGATTTGGGGTATGCCTGGCTCAGGCAAATGCAGAGACAGGCAACCAAGGCAAAGAGATTCCACAGCTTCTTGGTACTTGGATCACTGATGAGATACTATCCAGGCTTACCTAAGCTGTAATTATTATGAGGCACAATCCTGGTTGGTGAAGACCACAATTTAGACAAACTTTTTCTGTCTTAGAGATGGCTGTGTCAGAGCAGAGGTACCTTGTTAAGGTAGCATGAAAGTTTCAGCAGCGAATTACAGACAAGACCCATCTTTCAGAACTGCATTTGGTGACTTACATGAGAACTGAACTGATTCAAAATGCCTCCAGGGAAGAATGTCCATGCTTCACTTTTATACTCATTTTAGTGTAAAAGCCTTCCTGTTCACGTGCGGTCTGTGACAGGCAGGCGTCTCTTCATTTGTCTGCTTTTGCTGATCTTTGGCAGCATGGTCATCAGGGGGAGTCCAGCAGTTAATTTCACTGAGCCAGGTTTGTGAGCCTATACAAATTCAGTGTTTGAACAGCCCCAGGAGGCACGAAGGGATTTCAGACCCACTAAAGACTGCAGTATCTGGATAGTTCCATGGAGCCAGAGGGACAATATTTAATGACAGAGTGATTTAACCCATGTATTTCTCAAGCACTCAAGTGGTGTCAATTCCAGCCCATACTTAGTATAGGCATTTCATTATAGAAAGATAATGAGCTTACTCAGGGGCTTCATATTTTGTGTTGCACAGTGTCAAATATTCTTACCAACATAATTGGCTGTCTAAACTGCTGAGTTTATACAAGTCCATTATAATTTGTGCACTGATTAAATATTAAACCGGAGTGTATTTTCAGAGGAAATGAATTTAGAGCAGACCGCTTTGTTCTTTAGCAAAGGATCTCTGCTCCTGTCAGTTAGGAGATGGAGCAAAAGTTCTTCCCTCTAATATCATAATCATTCAATAATGTTTGCAAGGATTTGTTTGTAGAATATGTGCTTGTGTTTTAGAGTCATTCTTCTATTTCAAAATGAGGATAAAAAGGTTTAAAATTCAACAGCTGACAAGGCGATGCAGGCTTACAAACAAAATATGGAGGAGAAAGGGCCCAGTTGTGTGTGAGTTATCCATTTAGGTAGAAATGTAAAACTGAAGATGCTTTGCCATACCATTCAATTTTCAAGACTTTTTTCAGAAGCCTTCTCCTGTCTCTTAATAAATTTTAATGGCTTAACTTTATAGCCACCTGAGGTACTGCTTTGCAAAGCAGTAAGCCAACATAAACTTCTACACCTTCAGTTTCTTAAGCATGTTTTAACACACACCAGTGATGCCTTCATTTTAACAGATAGCGCTTTTCGCATTTATGACTTTTACTAAAATCGGTAGGTTTATATTTCAGATTTTGAGAATGACCACACTCTTGCAATATAAGATACAAAAAAGCTGCACTCTTGTGTTTGTTCAGGTGTAACTACTGATGCCTTGGCATGTGGAGACTTGTGTGTGTGTGTCTTTCCATGTGAAACCTAGGAAAAGATGTACTTTGACTTTCATTGTCATGTTCACACATTTTTCTGTGTCATTCTTTTTCTCATTTTCTTCCATCTTAATAGTGCAAATTGGAAATCAACCTTTTTTGGGGGAGTGACAGGTAATACTTTAAATACGTAATGTTGTTGGTAATTTATATGGGAGTTTTTCCGGTGTAAAGGTCTTCCAGGTCTGCCCCTCAAGTGTACTGAGGACATCATTAATCTAAAGCATGTGCTTGCTGAATTTTGCTATGAACATGCAGTAAAAATATCTGTGTCTTTATGCTGAATAAGTTTGATGTGCTTTAGTGCCCATAAGTGATGAAGAGGAAGGAGGCATTCTCTTTGATAATGTTGCCAAATCTGCCATTGACCCCTTTGACACCTCTTCGGGATCGGTGCAGCTGATAGCAGTCAAACCTGTGGCTCTACCTGCGGTTCATGCTGCATCAGAGAGGAGCCAGGAATCTGCCATCATTAATGGAGAGGTAAGGGCTGTCAGATAATGTCTCCAGCTGTTTCCTTGGCTACATCCGTGGGTGAAACAATCTGAAGCCTGTTAGACTTGAGGACCGGTAAAAGCTTTTCACTCTGATTTTATATAAAGTCCCATTAACATTGCAGACTATGAATGCATGTGACCTTGGAAGAGTCAATTATCTATATTTCTACCTTCCCCATATCCTTCTCTGCTATCATATTCTTTTTAACAAAATGAGTAATGAAGGCCAAGAGCAGAATAAGATCTTTGTCTTCACGAATTCTGTGGCTGAGCATGGAAATGTATGTAGATCATCTGGGTACCAAGCTGATCTTTCTATACTGAGCAATGCATCCCATTCAGAGCAAGAATGGATTCAGCAGCACCATGACTTTGCTCAGTCTGCACTCCAGCCTGTGCACAGAGGGATGCAGTTGTTTCCTGGGAACAAAATGGGATGGCACAAGCACCTGATCCAGGTGCTGGCCAAAAACCATGGTTTGGCTCCAACACTTGTTGGAGTATGATTATTCATGTTTTTATGTAGGTTTAATCAAGACTGGTTCATTGACAGAGGACCGAGGCTTTGATATAGTTGTTGAACATAGTGGGGACAAGCCAGAGCGGTGTCTTGTTTGTAAGACACTTGTTTGTTAAAGACACTGCAATGGTCATTTAAACATCATCCAGAAACTGCCTGATGCTGTTTAAAAGCAACAAGGAGGGCTGCTGCCAAAGACACAGTAAAAGACAATGTCATCAGGCTTCCCATGTGGGCCTGGATTAGAGCAGTCTGTTGTGCTCTATTTCATACTTGTATTTCAAGCCCTGATGTTCCCCATGGTTTCCAAACTCGGAGAAAGGTTTGCTTAGGTTTCAGCATCTGTTTTCTGTAAGTCAGCAGGACAGCACATCTGGTGCTGTGTGCTCTCTTCTACATACATTTGAGATTTGTGAGAAGACTCTGGAAGCCCAGAGACCAACAGCTCATTTCCATGTAACTGGCAATTTGAAGCAGGAGGGAAATTTTCTCAGTACTTAGGAGCATCGTGGGACCTGAACTGTACTGGGTCAGACCAAACATCAGTTTATTTAAGGATCTTGTCCTTAAATAAGGGGCCCTTAACAGATTTGTAAAGAAGCATATAAATAAAAGGAACACACGATGGTATTTCACAGGAATTCTTCCCCAGCCACCAGTGATGACTTACTTAAGGTTTTGTGCAGTCAAGGGCAATATCTCTCTGTACTTACAGGACCTTGGAAGAGTTCTCATCGGTGAGTCCTCCCTGTGATGCTCAAAAGCATGCACTGTGTTGGGTCACAACAATTGGCTAACATCATCAGTGTTTTTCTTCAGTGGGTGTATCTGAGTCACTGTTGTAATGGTACATATTTTTTAGGCTAAAATTATTTAACCATCTGCCAAGGCATAAAAATGCAGGAACTCTGTTCACTTGCAGTTCCTCACTGCTTGCAGATGGCACGGTGTGGTGCAAAACGCGCTCTGTAAAATGACACATGCAGCGCATCAAACATGCTCCGACAGTGCTGTTTGGAAGTAGCCAGCCCAGCACCATCCTTTCAACATCTTTTTGCCTTTTAGGTGAACAAGGCTTTGAAGCAGAAGTCCGATATAGAACATTACCGCAACAAACTGCGCTTGAAAGCCAAGAGGAAGGGGTACTATGATTTCCCACAGGTTGATAATAGCAAGGGGCTGACAGACAGAAAAAGGATGTATGAAAAAAACCAGAAAGAACTTGACCACATTTTGGGTCCAGATGCAGATGTCTCGTCCCCATTTGCTGAGCCAAAGAACAGGTGAGTCTTTTTATATGTAGTTCTTTCTTTGTCTGGGAGAAAAGTTGATGTCCAGAGTTTGTAGGAAATCAAAGGGTTTGTTCTTGATGAGCCAACTGTTTGTTGTGTGCTCAGCTGGCCCCTCCCACTTTATGAAGAAAATTCATATAACCTATGATTATTTATGAAAATATGTCATCTAGTAAAGCTGCAATGTGTTTAAAAAGAAAAATGGAAAGATAAAAACAAAAACAAAAAAAATAAGGGAAGGGGCTGTAGCAAGTTCTTGGAAGTCATTTTCCAAGTCAGGTAAAAAGAAAAAGTGGTAGACATGTTCCTGGTAATACTGAGAGTGAACTAAAGCCAGGAAGTTAGCATCACAATTTGCTCTTTCGCAAAGTTCAGTGGTGGTGCTATTTTGTCATTATTCTTATCTGAATATATTGCAGTAGGCATACAAGAACACAACCAGTATGTTGTCCCTGTATTTCAGTATGTCCTGCAGGGATGATGTCTGTGTTTATACCTGTATATAAGGTTGTTTTTATACCTGTAGCTGGAGATCTTCCTGTGCCTTTTACAGAGAAATTCATAATTTGCTTATCTGTGATGTGAAACTGACATATTGTATAACAGTACTAATGTCTGATTAACACTTCACTGTCTTTTGAGGATGGTACGTCATTAGCATTCATCTCTCAATTTTAGATATGAGGGGGGAGTGCACATCCTGCTTCTGCCTGAGCTTGTAGGTGGACTTGCTCTGTTGCTGGTGCTTTCTGAAACACAAGTTGGCACATTGGAAAGAGGGGATCATACCAGTCCTACCCCAGGAGTGGCACAGTGTGCAGATTCCTCTTACTTAGGGGTGGTGGAGGTGTGAAGGATTATAGGAGAGTGTTTGCCTTTGAACAATGAGGGCTATGAGGGCTATGGTTTTTGTGGAACCAGTAGCAGCTGATCCATTGTCCTGGATTCAGCAGTAGCAGTCATTTTTCTCCTTCTTAGTCGCTGGTGCAGTGCTGTGGTTTTGACTTTCAGCCTGGGAACAGCGCTGATAACACTGATGTTTTTAGTTCTTGCTCAGTAATGTTGAGTCTGACCAAGGACTTCGTGAGTCTCATGCTCTGCCAGGGAGGAGGGGAAGCTGGGAGGCAGCAGAGACAGGACACCTGACCCAAACTAGCCAAAGAGGTATTCCATATCACAGCACGTCATGCCCAGTATGTAAACTGGGAGTTACCTGGAAGGGCGACTTCACTGCTCGGTCGGGCTGGGTATTATTGGTCGGTGGGTGGTACTGTATTCTCTTCCCTTGTTATTTCCCTTATCATTATTATTATTGGTGGTAGCAGCAGTGATTTGTGTTATACCTTAGTTACTGGACTGTTCTTATCTCAACCCATGAGAGTTACATTCTTTCGATTCTCCTCCCCATCCCTCTGGGAGCAGGGGGTAGGGAAGGAGGGGAGTGAGCAAATGAGACTACATGGCTGACAGAGTTTAAACCATGACATCCATGTGAGAAAAAGGGATACTGAATTACATTTCCTCTGGAAATGGCCCTCATGCCTGGAGGCACATTCTTGCATCTCATCTCCTGGGAAGTTCAGACCAAGTTTTTCCTATGATCACAAATCATGACTGCAGTCAAAGCATTGGTGGTGACACAGTCTTTGCACACAGTGCAACTTCAGCAGTTACCCTTGGGGCACAGGGATGAAAAAGACTGTAATGGGAAATATAAAAGCAGTTTTGGCTCAGAATATGGGTGAAAGCTGTGACCAGATGAACTTCAACAGATCTAAGAGTTAAATGACTGCGGGATACTGACCTTGATGGGCCGTTTCCCAGGGTTTTGCTGGTCAATGAGGAAAAAAGATGCTGGCTTAACTGTATGTTATATACTTGCTGGAGAGTCTGGGGCATCATTTCCTTGTGCAGTTTTCCAGTGTGGGAGGAATAAACTGCTCCAAATGCATTGAAAAGTAAAATACTGACCCCTCAGAACACAAAAGTCCTGCTCTATCTGCATGGTTTGCCCAGAAGGTAAAGATGGAACAGTAGAAACATTGGTATGACCGCGTGCTGCACACATAGTGAAGGACTGTATTACTTCGAATGTTTATTACGCATCACATGTCATGTAGGAAACATGACACATGAAGCTTTAATGCTAGCCGTCTGCTTTTTGTTCAGTATACTGATGTTTGCTTGTTCATGTGCCAATGTACCGAAAGGTCCCGAAATACATTTTTTCTGCATGCTTTCCAATGTGTTGTGTAAACCTGTCACAGACTGTTTGAGATAGTGATCACTGGCAGGATATAAACTGCTTGAAGGCAGGTATACTGCTGTACAGGAACGATTGCATTGCGTAGCTGAACCACAAAAGACTGACTGCCAGATTTACTTGTTAAATATACAGTCTCTGTCACTACATAGGAAGAGAGAAGAATAATTTCTGATGCTCTTTCTGTAAAGACACAAAGCATTTAATGAACTTCACAGATGTTGCAGATGTTTGCAAACAAATCAGTTCCAAAGTCTAGCTAAAATTCGTATACTAAGACTTGGAACTGAACTTGATATGGTGTAACACATATAACAGCATTATTATCTTCATTTTTCTAACTAAAAGTGGCTAAACCAGCACACTGCTGGAGGAAAACCTTGAATAATACTACAAGGCAATGTGGGTTTATGAATCAATAAAATTGTATTTTTGTAACAAAATAAAATTGCTTTTAAAACAATCTGGGCTAGCATAAAATGGAAAAGATTTGATCTCTGACATTTTCTGCTTTCAATCATTGTTTCTACATTACAGTTACAGCAATTAAAACCTGAAAAAAATTTAGTTTCTAGAGAGAAGGTCTATTATACTCTTTTCTGTTTTGTATATATTCCACTAACTTAAATCACATTACTACAGCATCTCCAAAACACATCAGAAAATGAAGTTGCCTTTGATTACATTACTCAAGATCACCTTTACGTTTTGGATTTGTTTTAAGCTATATTTAAATGTGGTTTTCAAGACATTGTTACTAAGTAATTTGATTGGTTCAAGAACAAACAGCTTTGTGCTCTTAGTACCTTGTGAGTCTTCTGTACCATAAAATTTCTGTTTTGAAATGTTCTGGTTGTTCCCAGAAGGCACTTAAGAACCCTTTTTGAATGCCAGTTGTTAGCATTCATACCTCCTTTCTCATTAATAAAGCTCTCTTAAATGAGCTAATTGGTAATCTCAAGGCAATTTTTAAGAGCCTTCTGATGATATGAACTATTCTGGGAATTTCTTTAATAGTTTTAAATCAGGTCAAGTATCTGCATATATTAGAGAGCTGTATACTTGAATCCCTTAGAAAATATATCACAACTGCATCAACTAAGTATTTATGGCTCTATTGTAAAACATGCATGAAATTCTAGAGACCTTTAATGTAGGAACATAAAGGTTGTCAGATCTGATTAGCCTTAGCATAACGTAGCTCCTTGTGTTTTCTGATAATACTGAACACATTGTCTTAGAAGAAACAAGATAAGGCACTTTACGCAATGGTATTTTTATAGGGGAAATTTATTCCAAAACCTCTGCTTTCCTTCTGCTTTGGCAGTGCATTTGGGACTTTCAAAAACGTGCGTAAAGATCTGAGTGACTTTAAGTCACACAGAAGGTTTTGAAAGTTACATTAAAATTATGTGCCTGAACCCTTAGCTTAAACAGAAGTGTGAAACTGATATTTTTTTGTCCTGTGTTTTATCCTCTCTGGTCATGGAGATGTCTGTCTTTCTGCATTTCTGCAAACCAGTTTCTGCTGCTCTAATCTGTCAAGGCAAAAAGTTCTGTTAAGCATATCTGTAATATCTGAAGAATTGTTTCTTATCAGTGAATTAGACTGTGTTGTCTTTCCATTTTGCTGATAATTCTTAAGATGTTAAACCATGAAGTCGTAGTAATTGTTCAGTGGCACAGTCTACTTAATGTGGTTTCCTCTTATGTCACAGAATTTTTTCAATAGCTGAAATATTGTAGTAGATCTTTTTCTTTGCAATTATTCAGGCAGTCCCCAAACCATTTCACTTCAGAGATCTTATTTTTACACCACTTATTAAGTCAAACAGGGCTCTCAGCCACAGCCTCACCTAACTTTAATGCAAGCATTTTTTGCCCTTCAATCAAATCTTAACATGAGATTATATTTTCTTTCAAGTTACCTGGCAAGCATAAGAGGATGTTGGAAAACTCACCCAAGCCTTCTACTTTCAATAGCCCCTTTTGAATCTTCTGTAATTCCCACAAATTTATCAGTCATGGCTGAAAGGCTGCTATGCTGTGCCTTTGAAAACCTCCCTTGCTGTAGTGTCAAAATCATGGCACCACTGTGTTGAACCCGTTAGCACAGCAGCAATCTTTTGCTAAGATTTGATTAAAAGGCAAAAATACTTGTAATTTTTTAACTTTTCTAATGTAAAAATGTACTTGGATGAATGTGATGCACTAAGAACGTTTTTACTTCTCATGAGTAACTGACTAAAGTAATGTTGACACACAATATTACTACAACACCACTACTTGGGTAGCACCAGCTACTCAAGGCAACCTTGAGAAAATAAGGAATAAGTGTATGTTTCCAGTCAGTCTGTGAGGGTTAGTTAAGAGTTGCTGTTTTCAAGTGCCAGAGGAAGAGACAATATATCCCATCATATATCTACTTTTAATATTTTGAAGAGAATAACTGCACAAAACAGAAAAATAGCATGGCTAGGCAAAGATAACTTTATACAACAACAGCATGATTACCGTGTTAATAAATGAAGCTGGCGTGCCATTATTTGATCTGTTATTGATCTACAAGGGGGGGGAGGAGGAGCGCTTCTCTGGGGTATGCAAGAGAGGGAGTAATGACCAGATACACTGTAAGAGCAACATTTCTTAAAATTTTCTGGTTTAGATGTAGCCTTCTTAAAAGATGCAGCTTGGTGAAACATCAAGTTCCCATAGCACGTTTTGGCAACCGCTCCTGAAGCATTTACGCAGGGATATATGTCTTACAGAGGAATGCTATATTTGATTTTGTACAACCAACAAGGGGAGAAATGGTTGCACTGGAAAGATTACAGGCTATTTGGGGTATTGATCTATAGTCTGTTTTTCTATTACATTTGCTTCCCCTTGCTTCTGAGCACACAGTGGTGAAGTCTCAACACCTAGGGGTGCCTTTGCCAGTGCTTCCAGCAGGAGGTAGTTTAATCCCAGGGAGTACAGCTCTTTGATAAAGCTGTGGCCAGTTACCAAACTGGCTATTTAAAATGGCATCTTGCAAGCAGTTCCCTCCCACTCCTGTCTCTTCCTGTTCACTTTCGTTGGGTGTTTGTTTCAGTGGAGCGTTATTCTGCTCCTTGCTTGTTTCTCAGAATCAGCAACCAGAATCCCTGCTCTTCAGCTGAGTGTGTGGATGGCCTTATTACTTTTTTATAATAGCACCTATTTATTTTTTATGAATTTGGATCATATCACCTGAGGTCAAAAGTGTTCTCATATCTTCCTGGGACATACTTAGTCTGAAAAGCTTCCACATATGATGTTCGTGTCTTTTACGTGGCTTTATTTTTTTTGAGAGTAAACAAAATTAATGATCTCTTGAAAAATATTACTGATTTCTATCACTTACATGCACATAGATAGAATATCCTATTATTAAGTGGCATTTTTATAAACCCCATCATTTTACAATAAAGGTAAGTATTGAAAACTGCCACCTGTCTCTTTTTGTTTTCATTTTACTGTTTTCTTGTTTCACATTTTCTAGGCAACCACTGAAGAACTCTGTATACAGAAGCAGGCAGTCTTTGAACAGCCCTAGCCCAGGAGAAACTGAGATGGATCTTCTTGTGACTCGAGAAAGACCTAGGCGAGGAATCCGTAACAGTGGATATGATGTGAGTTTATCAGATATATGTAGTGAAATTTTCTCAGCAAGGTCTTAACTTACTCCTAAAACCAGGTAACTCTTGGTAAACTACAAGCCAAAGTGGCACTGGGAGCTTAACGTTACAGTACTTTGTATGCACTCAACATCCTGAAAAGAGCTCAGGATACTCAAAAGCACAGGCTCTCATAAACTTTATGGCTGTACATCATTTTGCAGTCTGAAATGCAAACAAAACATTTGCCCTGAAACTCATTGTTTGCCAAAGTGTTGAATTTTGAATTTAGATAGTTCTTGTAAGAGCTAATCCACTGACATAATACTGGGCCTTTGGGGTTTTTTTTCACTGCAGTTAAAATCTCGTGTTTGTTCTGTAGCCCTGGTGCTGCTCTCTTGAGTCAGAGGAATGAACAGCCAAGTTTTGGGAATTTCACTGAAACCCAGATGTCAGTGTTCTGTGGAAATCCCCTAGCTAGGAAAAGATAGTGTCGTCTTACTGTGTCAGAATGCGGAGAGTTTTGCATAGATAAATGTCAAAACCAGACAGAGGAGATGCTGGTTTATGGTCCAAGGAACTCACGCAGCCAGCACAACGCAGATGAGTTGTCTCATGCAGTGTCAACACACAGTGGGTGCAGGCTGACACTGTGTGCACCCAGAATGAGGATAAAAATAGCCCCCAACGCTGGGGTAATGTAGAATTTTTTAGTCCTGTGTTAGGTATGGAAAAAGTTATAGTTTAGCAAACCCTGAAGATCAGTCCCTAAAAAAGGTCTAAACCAGTCTGGAAAATAAGGGAGTTCATCCTCTAAACAAGCTGGTTTTTAACTCTCTCTCGGCTGTCAGGGATGCATTTTTAGCAAGGTGAAGGAATGTGCCAAGTTCAGGGGATGTGTCAAGGGAAGTTTAAATCCTTTACAGAATTCTTCACAGCTTGTTGTTGGTGTCATATTCCTTAAATTATTTCCTGCATGTGGATGCTTCCCATCAGATTGCACGAGTCCTTTCATGCCATGTGAGTGAGATACTGGTGCACTGCTTTGAGGCATCAGAATACATCACTGTAGCCTGGAAAAAGAAAGGTATAACCTGTTGAAATAGGCTTTACATTTTGCAAAAAGATTTCCTCACAATATTTCCTTTATTTTTCAAGCTTTCTTAGATAAAAAAATTGTCAAGTCAGCCTTCTTCCCTCAGTATCCTGAAAATCATGTTTCAAGAAAGCAAGGGAATATTTTAGTATGCTAATAAAAGCTGTTTTTTCACAGGTGATATTTTTCTGAAGTTAAAGTTGAAAACATTCCAGGAGTAGGCATGGCCTCATGTTATTAGTTCAAAATTAATATGCCATAAATAGTTAGCAGAAGGTTTTTTAATTGTAATTAAATATATTATATATACTCTCTATAAAGTATATTTTAAGGGAAATTTGTTAAATCCTTGACAGTAGATTAACGAGCTTGTGCAGATTCTGAAGTACTCTAAAAGTCATGATAAACTCTGAGCTCTGTGCACACCACACACAAATTTGCTTTCACCTGTTTCTGTTGTTGCAGTTGGGGGAGCTGTCAGTGACAGTGTTTTTACTGGTCACTTACATAAAATTCCATTTGCCTGATGTGCTGCAGATTCACTGCAGTGCACCTCTTCTAATTCTGAATGTATTTCTCATCTGAAAGTAGAAAAATGCCTGGGGGAAATGGGAGAGGATGTTGAAATTTAGTACCCAAGCCTCCACTTGCAGCGTGGGCTGGTTTCCCTCAGTCCTGTCTGAGGCTTCTCAAGCTGTGCCTAGTGTCTGACAGGCTTAGTCTCCCTGGATACCCACAGGCAAGCTCCTATCCATATTTATGCACGGAATTCATATGGATCTCACCAATGGTGCAACTAAACACCTCTGGAAATCTGACCTCTGAAAATGGGTGGGAAAAGACTCTGAAAAAGTGCTGGGTTTTATGCTGAATCCTCTGTCCTTTCCTTTTCATCTAGTAACATCTGGTACTGCTTTTTGACATCCACTTTGTCATTCTAGAGGTTCCAGACCACTCAGACTCTTGCTAACCTTTTCCTCCCAGTATGTTACTTAGCAGCAAGTCCTGCCAAAGAATACCAATACTTGTTTTAGAAGCAGTTCCAAATAATTAAGTTCATGAACCAAGTAATGAGATAATTTTACAGATTAACAAATTGTTGTTTTTCATTTGCTTGTTGTTTCATTGTTATTGAGTTTGGGGTTTTTTTTGTTTGGTGTTTTTTGTGGTGGGAGAGAGGGTTATTGTAACCAGTATGCTCAGGTTGGTAATGTGTTGAGGTTTATCTTCCCAACAATGAAAAATGGCTTATTTTATTTTAAGGAGACTAAGAAACCCCATATCCTTTAAGAAAACTCCTGAAGAACTGCTAGACTCATGTGCACACCCAAATCACGAGAGTCTGTGATGATTTTGCTTTGCTCTTTAAATAGGAGAGGGAAGTAAGAGCTCAGAAATCTGCCATTCCACACTATGTTTTTTTTTATTTATGTATTTTTGGTTTCTCTTACCTAAAAAATTTCTAGTACTTCAATTATGGTTTTCTGATATTTCATTCCCTATAATGATTTTTGTGCTATTGCTCTGAATCATAGTTCTGTTTCTAGAGCTAAAAATCACACAGGCCAATAGTTACATGCTGTTTGTTCTGACTCTGACTATATTATTTACCTTTAAAGCATCTTTATAAATAGATTATTACTGAACAGTACCTATCTCTCCATTTTAAATAATGCTAACAGGGTTTACTATCATCATCTTCACCTAGAAAGCAGACTAAGGAGACTTTATCAACACGTTCATTACTTCCAACACATTCACAGACAATTGTGAGTAGAACAAGTGCTACAAAGAAAAAATCTAGAACCTCTAGACTGCTAATGAGCTTCGGACAATGGAAGAAAATATTTAGGCTGGTTTTGGTGTCAAAGGAAAAAAACAGCCTTATAATATGTAGCTCAGATCAATCTGCAAAAGAATTTACCAGCAATAATTTTATTGACATGGCTAAATTAATGCAACTCAAAAACTTCAACAGATTAATGTCCACATGAAGAATTTTACTGATATAGTTGCTGCAGTAGAGTTATGCCAAAGTGTACAAAGTCTATCTCTATACAGGATTTTCTCTTCCTTCTTCATGTAATTTCATTTCTTTGTTTTATGCAATAACTGTGTATGAACAATATCTGAATTTTTATAATGGTAATGTTAATGTACAATGGCATCTATTTATGATATTTGCATGTTTCAATTGATAGGAAAGCGAAAGACATGCATCAGAAAGGGAAAGGATGAATTGAAATTGAGGAAAAGTAATGATCACCAGTCTCCTCCAAAGTCTTCATGACAACTTTTATATGGATAAATCAAGGTTGACTTAATGTTGACTGCTTATATGCATTCTTTATTTATAAGAGATATTTTAGACACTATAGAAGCCTAATGGCTTCACCAAGGGGTTGTAGTAGAGAACCTGATTAATTTCAGCATTGGATACTAGCAGGTCTCTTATGGGATTCCATTCACTGATGTTTTTATAGATATGATGGAATAGAAGAATCATGGTTATTAATCATCAGTTGGGACAATATGATTTCAGAGACTCTTGGTTGCACACATAGAAACTACTATTGCATTTTATAGTCAGGCTTCTAAAATTTACCTGATTTTTATTTACTGTAACACCACAAATAACAATGGAATCAAAACACAGGAAGAAAATTAAGGGAAACTATTTAGCTGAAGATTTCCTACAAAGTTTTCCGGTTTGAGACAACTTGTTGCAGTTATATTGCTCCTCCCAGAGTCTTACTGTATACTGCTTAGGAAGCCTGGAACTGAGTTGTGGTTTTGAGTTTGTATAATATACCGTGTAACTATAATCATATAAATGACAGTTGAATTCTAATATGCAAATTATTAATTATTGTAATAGTTTTCCTTATTACTATATTTTCATTAAGTACAAAATATAACTATGCTTGTAACACCTAAGCTATTTTATTTAAATTATAGTGTTTTAGGCTAACAAGTAACTCTTTGAATGGCTGATAACAGAAGAAAGCCAACTTGATATTTTCTACGGCAAATGAAGAAATATCTACTATGACTATCCTATAGTGTATATGACCATACGTAACTTGTAGAAGGTTAGGGGCACAGTTGCTTATCTAGTCAGGTGTAGGAAAGCACTATTACATGGGGAAAAAAAAGTATGCCACACTAGGATCTACAGAGCGGTCAGGTACATTATTAGGATAGTGCTGGAATTTTTAATAAGAATATCCTGTTGTATTCATTTATTTGTGGCTATTTAAAATGCTAATACAATTCTAACCACATGCTATATAGGAGATATGTATCCTGTTCTTCATGCCAGTTATCCTAGCATTTTAAGTTCATTTTACTGATATTTAAAGAGTTATAAAGAATTGGTTCCTTTTTTCAGGTTGCCTGTTTAAAATGTGTTTTTTAAAACTAGAGCATGTAAAGCCAATCTTACAGAATATAGATTAAGTTAGAGATTTACTATCAAGTTCTTACAATATGATGTTTGTTTCTGTCTTGGAATTACACAAAAAAATCCAGGGGGTGATTTCTGTTTGCATTTATCTGTACAAAAGGAATTACTCTAAAAGTAACTGTTCAAGTTAAGTTGCCCAAGTACTACCTGGATGCTTCACTCACATGTTCCTACATTAGGTTTAGATAGATTTTTGTGCAGTTACTCTTTGATGGCTAGGTAAGATGACCAAGCTGGGTCAGGATTCTGCAGGGGAGAGGACCTAGTTTGTGGCATCATTGTTAGCGGTCCTCACTCAGTTATAAAGTTCAGGAAAACACCAAAACTTTAATTCTCCTGAAATCTTAATGTGTGAGAATGGAAATAGAGTTTCAGTCTCTGTAGCTGTAGCAAGTGGTCCCTTGTAAAGGGTCCTTTGTGGTTGTGGTACTATATAGAGAGCCATGCTCCTCCTGGCACAGTTGTGCTCCCATTGATACTATCAACTAAGAAAAGAATGTAAACATTAATTCTAATTGCTTTTAAGATGTGAATCATTAACAATTTAATCTGCTACAAAGTGTCCCTGATAGTTTTTGCAGCAAACAATGCAGGCTATAAAAGGCTATTATACTCCTTTGCAATACTTGTCATGTGTCTACATTGTCACAGCTCCTGACTGTATACATTACATCTGTGCTTGAGATTGTTTTGTGTGGAGCAGCACAATTACTGTCTTGTAAAGCTTTTTAAGTATGTGTGCTTTTATTCCATCCAACAGACTGAGCCTGAAATTATAGAAGAAACTAATGTCGACTGTGTCAATGAGCCTCGGGGCTACGCCAGGTCCCGTCAGGCCAAGGGCCACTCAGAGACCTCAACTTTAAGTTCTCAGCCCTCCATCGATGAGGTTCGGCAGCAGATGCACATGCTTCTGGAAGAGGCTTTCAGCCTGGCCTCTGCGGGCCATGGAGGACAGAGCAGGCAGGAGGCTTACAGCTCCGCACCACACTTGCCCTACTCCGAGGTTGTGACCAGTGCACCTGGTACCATGACCCGGCCTAGAGCAGGGGTACAGTGGGTACCTACATACAGACCAGAAGTGTATCAGTACAGTTTACCAAGACCAGTAAGTGAAACTTCTCTTTAGTATACTGTAATATGCTGCTCTGAGACACATTTTTAAAAGTAGTCCTGTTTCCATGCTTAAAACCAGATGTAAAGCTGCCATTATGTTAAATAAGTATGGGTAAAGGGGTATGTGTATGTATTTTTACCCATACCTGTCTCTTGCAGGAATACTCAGTATCTATTTTAGTAGCAAGGTTATCTTGTCTAAATTGTGCTTGAAAGAACAGCCTGCGCTAAGCTCCAGGCTGTTCAGCAGATCAAAACCATGCCTGCATGTTTTCTCTTCAATGAATGTATATTAGGAAGCAGTCTGGTTTTGTAGAAAAACTGTGTAGGCACACAACACCCAATGCTTCTGGACAAGGTCCATCACTGAAGAGCAAGAGAGTGAACCAAGAGCAGTAGTCAGAGTGACCTGAAATGTGGGCTGTTACTGTCAATCTTGCATTATAGCTATAGACTTGGGACCCTATATGGTTTAATTCCACAGGTGTCTTGGTTAACTTTATATAAGTCACTCTTTACCCTTCATTTTCTAGCCTCCAATTATGGCTAACATGTCCTTATGTCACAGAGTTAATAAAGGAATTAAGAACTTAAATCCATGGGTGCAAATTATAAATGGAACTTTGTAGGTATAAAAACAGCAGTTGCAGTAGCATTATGCACACCCTTGGAATGGGTAACTACCTCTAAATTCCCACACACAGTATTGTGAAACTCAACAACATATTTTCCTTCTTACATGTCAGGTACAAATCTGAACAAGAGATGATTGCTTTCCAATGAGAAATAGCCCATATATCAATATCAGTGTGAAAAGTTGCTCATTTTAAGGCATTTTTTGGTCACAAATTGATGTTTTTTTAAAGAATGCATTTCAAACTGAGTCCCTTACTAGTGCAGAATAATGATCTCAGTTCAAAATAACTATTAATATTGACTTCCTTACAAGACAATAAAAAACCCCACCAACATTAAAGGGTGCTGTTTCTCTGCTATGAAAGCCAATGGCACTGCCTGCAAAAATTCAGGCTGGTGCTGTTTAAATCTTGCTAAAGGTTGTTTCTGGCACTTTGAAATTGGTCCGATGAACTTCATAGATCATATAATCATATTTTGTGGTTAGAATTCGATTACAGACTTAAGAGACAGCTAATGGCTAGTCAAACTACTTTGACGCTTCAGAGGATCCTTCTAAAATGAAATAAAATTTATTATACGGCAAAACATTGTTTTTTTTTTCTTTTAATGTAACAGCCATATTTTTTTGGTGAATGCGTCACTGTTTGCTTTCTAAGACTTCAGATACAAATAATTACTCTTCTAAATCACCTTTGTGTTTAGCACCTTTAAGCATTTCCTTATCTTTCTGGTGTTTTGAAGATAGTGTTAAAAAATTCCCTGCAGATAGTCAGTGGCCACAGATGTGGACAGGCACAAGGTGCTGGACTTTGGATAAAGGCTGTTAATTTATAGTGTGTTGTGTATCAGTTTCACAAATGCGAGCTGTACTTTAACCACACCATGTACTGGCTTGCTCTCAGATGGCGACAGAGGGTTGGAATTGAAAATACCCAGCTGAGATGTGTGTGGGAAGTGACCCGTAGGTAGAAAAACCATGGAAGAATTGTCATTCTTTGCACTTAAACAGCCATTGCCCTGCCTGAAACACCTCTAGCCGCGGGGAAGGTGTTGCCACAGGCAATGTTGGAGGTGAGGTGGCTGGCACATAGGAAAGGTGTCTGCTTGATGAGCTGCAGCTTTGGAAATGAGAGGTACTTGAGCACTGGCATGTTGTTATGTGGGGCAGGATGTTACCTGTCCAAACCAAGAATTATTTATTTTTCCCTTCCCTAAAAGTCAGTTCCAGTCTGGAGTCTGGTACCTGTGTAGTCTGTCCTGAATCTCATATGTGATTACTTCTGCCATTGAGTGTTATATCCTTTGTTATTATATGTCCTTATTTTCCAACAAAACAGAGTTTGGAATCAATGCAGGATGTTTCTCTTTTTCATTTTTGTTTGGCTGGTTTTATTTTTTAATTGGTTTTGTTGTTGTTGGTTGGTTGTGTTTTGTTGTTTTTGTGAAAAACAAGTGATGAACTTTTTTTTTTAAGGATAAACTCATTTGGAAGAATAAAATTAGGCGAATTTCCTGTGAAATCAGCAGGGTTTTGTTTTGGTTTATTGTTTGTTTGTTTGTTTGTTTTATTTTATTTTTTGCTGGTTGGATTTACAAGTGTACAAATTTCAGTGACTTTTTTTTTATAATCACAGCAGTTAGCCTATAAACTAATTGCTCATCCAAACCTATAATAGGCATCTGTAGTAAATCTTTGGTTTAATTTAGCCTCTGAACATTTTTTTCACTAATGTGTTGCATGCAGGAGGACACCAATGCCCCAATTCTTGGAGAAATTCTAGCAATGTTGTTGGAGATCCTCTCGTATCCGTTTTGGTGTCTGTGGAAGGTCAGCACAAAGAGGGCTGGCTGCTGTCTGCCTGGATGCACTGTTCCTTAGCATGGTGTAGCAGATCTCCTAACAGGAATTTTCCCCTTAACAGGATTCCATCTGCCCATGCATAGGCTTATGCATGCTCATGCAGCCATGAGCAGAATATTGCCTGTCACTCAAAATTGTTCATCGCCTATGTATACAGTAAAATAAGTGATTTGATTTTCTTCTCCTCTTCCCCCGATTTTCAGTGCAAGTCACAGCATGTTTCTGCTCTCTGTGAACTGTTCTCTGTGATCCTTTAAAGTGTCTCTTTTGATACCCATTTGCCAAAGCACATCCACTAATACACAAGAAAACCCCCAAGTCTACCTCTGTCTTTATCCACCGTCTTATACTCAGTCACCAACCACTCTGAAACATTAGCTCATGTGCTGCTCCTTTCAAACAGCCGGGGGGGGGAATTAATTTCATAAGAATTAATTTCATACTTACTTTCATATTCTTAAATGCATGCTGAGAGCAAGATGTGGGATGAAAGGCTTGTGGAGCCAGAGGAAGTGTTTGCTTCAGCCTGCAAGAACCCTGCCAGCTTTGCAGATGCAGAAGAGTCACTGTCCAGCACTATTAGGAGAAATCTAATTGAGGGTTTTTTTTGATGCAAAATCAGTATTTCTTTTTTCTATACAAGTCTTTCATTAAAAATCAGTATTTCCAACCCCTGGCTATGGAATATACCATTGCCTCATTATTATTTTTTTTTTCCACCTAAATATAGAAATACTTTGAATACCATTGTAACATGCTGGAAGTAAATATTAGGACACATTGTGGCATGAAAGGAAAAATTACATGCCTTCATAGACACGCCATTGAGCAACTCTGCCCTGCTGTAATAGGGGTTCAGTGAGTGGCAGGAGAAAGATGCTTGATCTGTATTGCTTTTCCCTTAGAGATACTGACATCAGAAAGTTAGTATTTGATGAAGTTACTCTTCCTGTGTGTTAACCCAGTTTTGCATCAATTTGAGGAGGAAGTTATTTGAACTCTGTCTAAATGTGTAAGATTTAAGATGAGTACTGAAAGATAGTGTTTTTTGATATTTAATGTGGGACTTATATTGCCAAATTCAAACCTAAATGTAGGTGTTAACTCTGAGCTAATCATGAAAATGGTGTAGGCTCTTTCTACAGGCAGGAGGTAGTGACTCATGGCACGGTAACGTGTTTCTAGCTGTCTCTGCTCTTTGTGGAGGGAGCTTCACTGACTAAACCACATACATACCTCTTTACAGATCTAAAGAAACACCATCAGACTTTGGACTCTAGTTTTTGTCTTGATGTCTTGATACTGGGCAGCCTCCCCACCATTTTTTATTTGCTATTGCTCTGATCTTATTTTTAATCCTGTGCATTGCTCAGAAGCATCATCAGTAAAACCAACAAAACTGCAGAACAGCCCAAAACTGCACCGTGTTGAAGAAATGTGTCAACGAAGTGCTAGAGAAACATCATCCCTCTGTCTTTAAGTATTTTTATCAAAGTTATGACCTCTAATCTATAGCAGTACAAAGAATTTAGAAGGTAAAATTTTGTCCTACATCTCATTTCTCAGATGCCGTGTGTTTCTTTCACGCGATTACTCAAACTTCACATATATTAATGATGAAATCCAGAATTACCATGGGCAAGATGCTTAATGTTGTGGCTTAGTGGGTTGGCCCTGTGTTCTTCTGAATTGCTCTACTTTTTCAGACCTTTGTTATTGCTTTAGAATGTTACAAAGCTTGGTTGTTTTTTGGGGTTTTTTTTTGTGAAGAATTTTATTTTCATCTCTGCAAGTCTGAAAGGAAGAGGTTGTAATATTCATTGCTCACAGACAGCTGTTACTTCACTTGATGCTGCTCTGAGGATGCTTTCTGAATCTTTAAAATCTTTGTTTCTGGAGGAAGTGAAAATGCTCACATAATCATAACAGATCTGTTTTGCCAGCAAGGTTACAAATGTCACAGAGACAGTGTTTAATACGCTTTATTTTAATTAGACTTCATCTGGGCTCTGAACTCATTTGTTCACATTTACACCCACATCTGAAAATCACCCAAGCACTGTAATTTCTAAAATAAAATGCAATTACTATTGATGCCACAAAAAGTTAACTTCCTGTCGGCCAGCATGTGAAGCAGGTACTTAATTTCTGACTTGCTTTTGGTTTTTAATTTGACTGAGATCCATTGGTGTTTCAGAAAATATTTATTTCTCTCCTGTACAGGCTTACAGATTTTCTCAGCTTCCTGAGATGGTAATGGGTTCTCCTCCACCACCTGTCCCTCCCAGAACAGGTCCTGTGGCTGTTGCATCTCTCAGGAGGTATTTATCTGTTGTTTTATTATAGGTAGGAGCTCTAAATCCCACTGTTTGTAATACAAACTGGGGCAAACCCTGAAGGGGCACTTAAAGCCACTTAAAAAAACACATTAATGAAATTTGAAACATAGAATTGCAGAACAGTTAGGGTTGGAAATGACCTCAAGATCATCTAGTTCCAACCCCCCTGCCATGGGCAGGGACACCTTACACTAAACCATGTCACCCAAGGCTCTGTCCAACCCAACCTTGACCACCGCCAGGGGTGGAGCATTCACAGCTTCCTTGGTCAATCCATTCCAGTGCCTCACCACCCTCACAGTAAAGAACTTCCTCCTTATATCCAATCTAAACTTCCCCTGTTTAAGTTTTAACCTGTTACCCCTTGTCCTATCACTACAGTCCCTAATGAAGAGTCCCTCCCCAGCATCCTTACAGGCCCCCTTCAGATACTAGAAGGCTGCTATGAGGTCTCCACACAGACTTCTCTTCTCCAGGCTGAACAGCCCCAACTTTCTTAGCCTGTCTTCATATGGGAGGTGCTCCAGTCCCCTGATCATTCTCGTGGCCCTCCTCTGGACTTGTTCCAACAGTTCCATGTCCTTTTTATGTTGAGGACACCAGAACTGCACACAATACTCCACATGAGGTCTCACGACAGCAGAGTAGAGGGGCAGGATCACCTCCTTTGACCTGCTGGTCACGCTCCTTTTGATGCAGCCCAGGATACGGTTGGCTTTCCTGGCTGCGAGCACACACTGAAGCCGGTTCATGTTCATTTTCTCATTGACCAGCACCCCCAAGTCCTTCTCCGCAGGGCTGCTCTGAATCTCTTCTCTGCCCAACCTGTAGCTGTGCCTGGGATTGCTTTGACCCAGATGTAGGACCTTGCACTTGTCATGGTTAAATCCAAGTGAGGTCTCATGGGAGCAGAGTAGAGGGGTAGGATCACCTCCTTTGACCTGCCGGTTGCGCTCCTTTTGATGCAGCCCAGAGTACAGTTGGTTTTGTTTCATTTCAATACGAAGAGGAAAGGAGTAGCAATGAATTTTGTCTTCTATTAACCAATCATTTTCAATAAAATTAGGAAATCCAGGCTCCAGTTTCTTTTAAAACATGCTTTGCCTCAACTCACATAATGGTGCAGTATATTGCAGCCGTAAGATAGATAACTTGCACTGTCATTTTCCCTGCTTGTCTCAACTGTAAGGACTTGCAACAGGATATGGAGGAATTGCAAGATGTTTCTCAGTACCATGGATCTGGGATTTCTGCCTAGCTTTCAGATATTTCATACCCGCATTTCTGAAGCCAATCCCTTGGAAAAGCCGGATTGCCTTAGCTCAGTTCATACATTCTGCTTCTTCCTCACACCAAAGCACTCTATAAAATGATTTTTCAGGAATATTCCCACTTCTGTGGTGGATTAACAAATTTAGATTTCAGTGCTGTTCTGTTAGGTGCTGCCAGCTGTAGTTGGAGGCACAGCAGGCCTGCTGAGCATCACTGTGTAGCAACCAAGGCCAGAGGAGACTTTCCTGACTGGCTGCTAATGACAGCAGAACTGCATGCAAATATTCAGGACATAGACACTGTCTGCTGACATTCTTGTTCATCCATTACATTTTAGTTCTGAAGCAACTGGGACACACCATTTCAAATGAGGTTAGTACTTCCCAAGTCCAGTAAACATTACTTGCCATAGTAGTCTCCTACCATATGATACCATGTCATATATACTTATGGTAATATGTAGTGTCTGCAGTCTGGTGTTGATAAACTATGAAGTTTTGGGTTTTGTGTTGCATGTCACAGGCATTTGAAGCAGCAAGCAAAGGCTCTGTGAGATGGCAATAACATGCTTTGGCAAAGTAGCGACTAAGCTAAAGAAGGTGTTCTCAGACTTCTCCAGACGTACTGTTCTCCAGTTCTTCAAACTTCTGTCATGCCAGAGCAAAACCAGATAGCTCATTCCTAGCTGGCTTGTCATCAGCTGTAGCTGGTAGGCATGCATATGGCCATGAATCTCATCTGTCAGTCACAATGACAAAAGTTTCTATATTTTTTTCTTTCTTAATGCACAGGTCTACATCAGATATTGGCAGCAAAGTGAGAATACCTGAGTCCAGTGGGGCAGATCAGGCCCAGCATCATGATCAGGCATCTTTTGCACCAGGCTCAAGAGCTCCATTGTCTGTTGGTCCACTTGATCAGTCAGCTTTTCACTCAGGTGAAAAAATGATGCAGACATATGACTTGCAGCTTTGAGACCTTATAATTTGTTTTGCATATAAATTAATGTATGGGATATAGCAAACATAGATGATTATTTGGAGAAAAACTGTATTAGGTGGTTTAATATTATAAGTTTAAGCTAATACGCTCTTCTGGTGGTATGTGGATGACATTTAGCTGAGAAAATACTTGAAATAGCTTTTCTTTGGTGGAATATGCTTTCTCAAAGAGCTATAGAAAAGAGCTTACAAGATTAAAAAAACCTGATTCTGTTGGTTCAAAGTCTTTACATTAGTAGGTTTATTTGACATGGCTCTTTTAATCTGCCAGAAAAAAAATCTTTCTTAGCTTTCTCAGAAGTAATAATTACCTGCATTGTATTCAACATCTTCTACTGAGAATACTAATGTGGTATGCAAATCTGTTGTCAATTAATTAAATATATCAGGTTTGAAGGATCCATTCTGCTTTCACTTACTGTCATACCTTCTGCAAATGGTGCATGTGAATCTGAAAAGAGCAGATGCTCAGCCTTTCATTTTAAAGCATTTCTAGCTACAGAATATGCCATCTACCAAAGCTGGCTCTTCATGTCTCAAGTAATGTACTCTGTGATATATTTTTTTATCCTTTCCAGCAATGTGGACATTTTATTGCTGTATGTTAAAAGCAGGTGTGCTGTGCTACCACTGCAGAGCGGCTGCATTTCCGAAGAGACAAAGTGACCTTTGTGTGCATTGTGGAGTTTGCCAGAATAATTCTGGGGGTAGTTCGAGGAAAATTTCATATATGATAGATGCTATGTGCTGCAAAAAGCTGCAGTATATAGAAAGGAGAGTTGTGAGGAAACTGTAACACATGTGTTTCTAATGTTCTGGTAGGAAAATAAATTTGTATTGCCTCAATACATGAAGAAACATTGCTGCATGTGCTGATTTGGCATGAAACGGCCTCATGTCACTCTCATGCAGCCCATCAACATCAGCTCTACAATAATGATGTTGCAGTAAGAATTTGGAATAAGGTGTTGCATCAGCTAATTGTTCATTTTGAATAATGGCTTATTTTGCTGTGGTGAAATTAAAAGAGTAGTTTCGTGTAGAAGCCATGTGCCATCTACAGAAGCAGCACTTTCTTCTCTGTACATGTCTGAAGAATACTTATTTCTAGCCTTGCTAACTCATTTAACTTAGCAACCCTTCTGCTGTTTATGACCTGGGAAGAGCAAGGATTGCCCACACCTCTTCTCTTAGTCCACCTCCCTCCAAGCCAAATGGCCTGAGGAAATTGGTCTAGAGGTCCTGTGAGATACCCATGGCTACCTGCCATGCAGGCATACATCATGAATCCCGCCTCTCCATAGCAACAGGATGGTGACTATTTCTCTGAGGGCTCAGTGACTCCAGCATTCTTCTGACATAGGAGAAAGGGTACTACAACCCAGCGTCAGAATGAAAGCTAGGACTTAGTCCCTGGCAGAAGAAAATGCTGTGTAAATGTAAATCATAACATACAAGTTTTTAGTCTATATTTTGGATGAAAATATGAAAATATCCCTCACAGTTTCTTCCCTTTTTTTTTGTGTGTGTGTGTGGTTTTTTTTTCTTTTTTTTTTTTTTGAGGCCATGTTAAAATGGATGATATGTTTTTGTTCTGTGATAAAATTGAACTGGTGTCAAGTTTCCTTAAAAACATTTAAGTCAAGTTGTAACTGCATCATTTATTGCAGTTGTAGACTGCTCTTAGGAAAGGAATTGAGCAGGTGCAGCCTCTGTATTTTTTATGGAAGCAAGGAAGTTTTATGAGGGGGTTGTTGAGATTACAACCCTTTAAATGTATCACTCATTTTTTATAGGTTTTGTGCCTAGAGATATTAAGACAGTTTAATTCTGACAGTTTAATTCTGCCTAGACACATGAAGACAGACTATGTAAACTGTGACGAGAAAGGTGCGTTACTCTGAAACCCATGGTGACAACAGCTAAAAGCTGAATACAAAGAAGCAAATACAAGCGGAACCTCCCCCCCCCCCTCGTTTTTCCTAATGATTCAAAGTTTTGGTGAAGATTAGCTGTTACAAGGATCAAGGACTAAATCCTCATTTCTTTATCTGAAGGCTGTGTATTATTTATAGACAACTGCAAATCTTGCCTTCTCCAGTATTTCCCAGCATGATAGAGGTGTTCTAGACAAATGGTGAGAGCCTTCAATCCAGCCTACAGTGGTCACATTCTCACAATCACCAATGAGTTACTTCATAAGCACTATCTTCTAATTTAAAACTGAAAATGGCAACTATTAATTATATCTACTCTCTTTTTTTAATAGGAAATACCGTACCAGCAGTGTTTGCCATACCAGCAGGAAACCGACCTGGCTTCACAGGCTATTTTATCCCAACGCCACCCACTGCATACAGGAACCAAGCCTGGATGCCCTATGCTGGAGAGAATGAATTACCAGGGCAGTGGGCAGACTCAGTAAGCATCCTTGCTTGTCTGACTACATATGTTTTCTGTGATTTGCACAGGAGGGGATTTAAGCAATGCTAAGTGATCAGCAAAGAATCTGAAATGGATAATTCTTCCTTGAATGGGAATAATCCGTAGTAATGAAAAGCTGTGAGAGAGAGCATAGATACTTAGCTGTCCATCCCATGAACTGAAAGCAGGGTCTTTAGAGAGTTAAAACATTCACTAGGTTAGGGACTGGCACACACTTAAAATTGGTGAGTTAGGTACCATTTTTCTTTCCTAAGGCAGAAGTTAAATAAATGGATTTAACCATGCCAAGTGCAAGGTCCTACACCTGGGTCGGAGCAATCCCAGGCACAGCTACAGGCTGGGCAGAGAAGAGATTCAGAGCAGCCCTGCGGAGAAGGACTTGGGGGTGCTGGTCGATGAGAAAATGAACATGAGCTGTCTTCAGTGTGTGCTCGCAGCCCAGAAAGCCAACCGTATCCTGGGCTGCATCAAGAGGAGTGTGACCAGCAGGTTGAAGGAGGTGATCCTGACCCTTTATTCTGCTCTTGTGAGACCTCACCTGGAGTATTGTGTGCAGTTCTGGTGTCCTCAACATAAAAAGGACATGGATCTGTTGGAACAAGTCCAGAGGAGGGCCACGAGGATGATCAGGGGCTGGAGCACCTCCTGTATGAAGATAGGCTGAGAAAGTTGGGGCTGTTCAGCCTGGAGAAGGCTGCATGGAGACCTCATAGCAGCCTTCCAGTATCTGAAGGGGGCCTATAGGGATTCTGGGGATGGACTCTTCATTAGGGACTGTAGTGATAGGACAAGGGGTAACAGGTTAAAACTTAAACAGGGGAAGTTTAGATTGGATATAAGGAGGAAATTCTTTCCTGTAAGGGTAGTGAGGCACTGGAATGGGTTGCCCAAGGAGGTTGTGAATGCTCCATCCCTGGCAGTGTTCAAGACCAGGTTGGACGAAGCCTTGGGTGATATGGTTTAGTGTGAGGTGTCCCTGCCCATGGCAGGGGGTTTGGAACTTGATGATCTTAAGGTCCTTTCCAACCCTAACTATTCTATGATTCTATGATAGGCACATGGCAGGATTAAATGATGCTGCCTCTCAAGGTGGCCTTGTGCTGTTTGGAAGCTGGGGAGCATCTTTCCCTTCTGGAGGCTTCTGCCAAGACAGGCAGGCTCCTGAATCCTAGCTCCCAGCACTGCTGCAGCTCTCCCTGCTGCATAGTGCTTCAAGTCCTCTTGCAGGCTGGAGTGACAGATCATAAAATAAATCATTAGTTGCACAATCCTAGTCTAAGAAAGTTGTAATTTTTAGCTCAGACTATACCTACATTTCAAAGTAATAACGTTGAAACGTCCTAAAATGGATTGCAATAGTTTTATCATGTTTGAAACAATTTCTAAAATGTAGGGCTTTTTTCCACTACGGAAAAGAAAAAAAGATCAGTTCTGCTGCTTAGGCTCACATCTGGTATTTATGCAGAACCACTTCAGCTAAACAAACTGGGAGATAGATTCTATTTCCTTGTGCATATAATCAACAGAATATTCTAGTCATGGCAGTTACAGTCTAAGTTGGCTTTGAGCAGCTAAGCGAGAGATATAAATATTTTTGGGGGTGGCTATTTGTCGGCAAATCTTTATTACTGCTCCTAATGCCTTTGAGGAAAAGAATTTGGTTTAGTTGTCATATGCATGCCTGAATCTGTACGCTGAACTGCTGGGAAAAATAGGCTCATCTGTAAGCTGTGTGCATCTGCTGCTGTTCCCCTGACACTTTGAAGCTTGTGATGCTGTGGTACAGATTCCCTCCCCAGAGCTGCCCTTTAAAAGCAGTGAAAACCACCTTATTTTCTTTGTTGTTGTTGTTGTTTTGGGGTTGTTTTTTTTTTGTTTGTTTGTTTTTGTTTTTACCTTACTGACGTTTTAAATCCAGGAGGCCTGTTGTATCTGAGCAATCATTCAAACTTTGGAACCACCTCACCCCTCCATCCCCCAAACAAACCACAAAAAGTATTTCACTTATCTTCAGTTCTTTTCCCTTTTGTACCTCTACTCCTTGGCTGCAGTCCCATGAAAAAAGTCAGGTATCATGTGTCTAAAGTGGCCGCTGAAACTGGAAAGCAAGTGTCTAGCCCCAGTTCCTTCCTCTGGAAAGAGAAGGGTGTAACCCTGTTGTGGGTTTCCTTGTTTCCAGGGAAACATGGGTATAGCAGTTAGCGCCAGTGGACCCTACATAGAAGAATGGAGAAGGATGCAAGAAGCTGCCTGAAAAATAACTGTGGCAATACAGAATTCAAAGGAAACAAATGTTCCTTTTAACTTCATGTACCTATTACAGAGCTTTAACAACTTGGTGCTCAGATTTTCATCCCTCCTGTGATTTTGCAGGAACAAAAATAAAAAAATAAAACCAAAATACCGCAGTTTCCATGATGAATCTGCACATCCCAATGACTACAAATCTGTCAAGAAATTGTCTTTATTTGAAAATCATTACTGGAGGAACCAGTAATAGTGTTAGCAACGTAATACAATCAGAAGCCTGAATAAAACGGCAAAAAATAAAGATCTAAAGTAACATTGAGGTTTTGAGGTTCTGGATGATTTCTGGTTTCTGAGCCTCTAGAGTATAGCTTGATCATGCTTGCAAGATTTTCTTGACTGTTCATAAGAACAGTGGCTTAATATCCATAGGGTGAAAACTGAAATTCTTTACTTTGCATGCATTTCCACTAGCTGGGCTGTAAACAGGCAACACAGGAAATGGAGATTTCACAACAAAGAATTATCTTATAAGCTCAGTTTACTGTAGTGTATTATTTTCTCAGTTAAATGGTAAGTACTGAAGCACCATGTCTTGTGGGAGAGGGCAACTGTATCCAACAATGCAGTTATTTTCCAAATTGCTAGATGCTGCTCAGTGAAAGTAGTAACCTGATGGCCTCTAGTGGCCTGTTCACATATTGTACTACTGAAATGTCTTGAATATCAGATCTATGGTAAACTGAAGAGGCAACTGCATTTAATGATCACTTTTGTATCATGCCTGCTTCCTGTGTCTGTCTTATCAACACTATTCTGAATGTGCTTGACATTCTCTTCGTCACTTGAAGGCTATCGGAGATCATAAGGAGCATGAGTGAATCTTAGTGGTTAGGCTTTAACAGGTTCTTAGATGCCTGAAGTGGCAATTTTCAAAAGCACACAAAGATTTAAACTCTCATGGGGCCACAGCCAATATGGGATTTAAGCAGAACTCTAAAGCTGTCATTCTCCAGTCCATACTGCAGTCCTGTGCTCCCCAGAAAGTATGTACAACTGGGAGATGTTCCCCATCTTGACATTTCAGCCAGCTTCTGCAGAATTCCAGCACAGCCTTAGCCCTGGTGGGTGATGCACCTTACACCTCAACCTGACTGACACACAGAAATTAGCTGAGATACCGGTCCGGCTGCCTGTGTTATATGCTTATGCCAGACTTTAATGCATTTGGGAAGTCAAATACGTTGAGGCAAATTTAAAGCAAAAAGAATTACAAAGTTAATTTTTTAGTCATTAAACATTGCGAAACCTTATCTATTAACTTACAAGTTAATGAACAGTCTCTAAACTGGAGAGACGTAAATTTGGCCAATGGACCACTGGGTGAATAAAGAATTGGCTGAATGGCTGCACATAGAGAGTTGTGGTCAACATCTCAATGTCTAACTTGAGATGGGTAACGAGTGGTGTCCCTCAGGTGTTGGTGTTGGGACCAATCCGGTTCAACACCTTTGCTGGTGACATGGACAGTGGGATTGAGTGCGCCCTCAGCAAGTTTGCTGACAACACTTAAGTTACGTGCTTCTGTTAACATGCTGGGGGGAAGGGATGCCTTCCAGAGGGACCTCAGCACATTTGTGAGGTGAGACACTGCCAAACTCATGAAATTCAACCAAGCTAAGTGCAAGGTCCTAGACCTGGGTCAGGGCAATCCCAGGCACAGGTTGGGCGAAGTAATTCAGAGCAGCCCTGTGGAGAAGGACTTGCAGCTGTTGATTGATGAGAAAATGAACATAAGCTGGCTTCAGTGTGCGCTTGCACAGAAAGCCAACGGTATCCTGGGCTGCATCAAAAGGAGCGTGACCAGCAGGTCGAAGGAGGTGATCCTCCACCTCTACTCTGCTCTCGTGAGATCCCACCTGGAGTGCTGTGTACAGTTATTGTGTCCTCAATATAAGAAGGACATGGAGCTGTTGGAGCAAGTCCAGAGGAGGGCCATGAGGATGATGAGGGGACTGGAGCACCTCCCGTATGAAGACAGGCTGAGAAAGTTGGGGCTGTTCAGCCTGGAGAAGAGAAGGCTGCTTGGAGACCTTATAGCAGCCTTCCAGTGTCTGAAGGGGGCCTACAAGAATGCTAGAGAGGGACTCTTCATTAGGGACTGTAGTGACAGAACAAGGAGTAATGGGTTTAAACTAAAACAGGAGAAGTTCAGGTCAGACATAAGGAAGAAGTTCTTTACTGTGAGGGTGATGAGGCTTTGCTGCCCATGGCAGGGGGTTTGGAGCTAGATGATCTTAAGGTCCTTTCAACCCTAACTATTCTATGATTCTAAGTGTCATATTCTGAGTATACTGTAGATAAGTGTATTTTTCTGAGTGACTCAGTTCACAAAAGAACATCACCCAACTTTCCTTACTTGTTGTTGGCAAGGACTCGAGTGATTAGCTGGCAAGCTTTTTCTCAAGGAGAAATTATCTTGTCCTAGTAACAGGTTATAGGTTGCTTTCCGTAACAACATAAAGCCTTCCTCAAAATGAAGGGCTTTAGATTCCTGTTTTATAGACTTTTGCAAAATATAAATGCTATTTTTATTTGATGCATTAAAAACTTCTGAGGACAGTAAAAACTGTTATCATACTTCATGGATTTGTGAAGAAAATTTAGTATCTCACAGTAACTAAAGAGCCTAAGTTATTCTTTTAATTTTAGCCAGTGTAATATTGGACTGAATTCAGTGAAGTCCCAACAGAGTAAAACAGTGAATCCCCCATGGAATGTGGCCAGAGATCCTGATACTTCTGAGATTCCAAACTTTTTTTCCATGTTAAGTTTCCAGGTTGGTGTACCTAAGCTTATGTAGTGTGTTTTTGTTAGGAGCAGTATGTCTGGAGACTTGGCTAACTTAGATTAGGTGGTGGCTGCAGATCAGTGAACTCTACTTTTCTGTTCTAGGCTTTTTGATGTCCTGCAATGTAGTGTTGCTGTCTGTTTCAAATTGAACTGCTTAGGTGGGATAGTAAGCAGAGACCACACTTTCAGAAAGGTCTTCTCCCTCTGACTTTTTGCAGTGAAGTATATTAGGACACACAGTGTTTTCCCTGATAGTTGTTTTTGCTGCCGCAGTCTGGGGAGCCGAGTGCCCAGTACATTGACATGTGTGCGTGAATGGCACACACCAACATAGTTGTAAATGTATGCTTAGGATTATGGAGTTTATGTTCTCTTCATATGGTCCTATCTGTTCCACCTTATTCTGCCCCTGGGAGGGTTGTGTTACATGGCAGGTGGCACTATGGATCAATTATTCTGTATAATTTTGTATAATTAAATACAGGTTCCACTTCCTGGATACATCGAGGCTTATCCGAGGCCCCGTTACCAACACAACTCTCCTTCCCGACTGCCTCGGCAGTACAGCCAGCAAGCAAGCATGCATCCCAGCCTGGAGCAAGCTCCTTTGCCATCCACTGCAGCTTCCCAGCAGAGCCTGACAGAAAATGACCCGTCTGATGCTCCTCTCACCAACATTTCTACAGCTGCCCTTGTAAAGGCAATAAGAGAAGAAGTTGCTAAGCTGGCCAAGAAGCAAACAGATATGTTTGAGTTTCAGGTCTAGTATCTTTTGTGCACAGTATTTGTATCATGCAACCTGGAGTAGCCAAAAAAGTAACTCTCAATTTTCAGTTACAAATTTGCTGTGAATTGTGCCAAGGTGATGGCATTTTTCTCTGTCTGAAATGTCAATACTATGAAATTACTTAAAGTACAGCAACAGGACTCTGAACACATATAATTCTGCTTGCCAGCTAAGGAAATGCTGCCAGGTATAACTGTTTCATATGGATAAGAGTGATATGCAGTTGTCACATAGCTCTTGTATTATGACCCATCATCATTAGAGATGCTGTTGAACATGTCTGTGCCACGCAGTGTTTCATCTGCAGGCCCAAGGTAAAGCTGCCGAAAATAACTTCTGCATGTCAAAACTTTGATTGAAGAAGAGAATACAGTAGAATATGGTTAGCTAAAGGCCACAGTAAGTGCAGAAAGGGGCATGTGAGTTTGCTGCAGGACATTGTATAAGGGATGCTGATTTCAGCAATGCAGTCATTCAGCCTTTTCATTCTAGAGACTGCATTCAAACCAAGAGAATTTGAGGTTAGTAAATACTACAAATAAATATCCTGTAAATAGCCCCTATTCTCCTCATCCTATTAACAGTACAAAAAGGTGAAAGGAGAGAAGACTGTGAAGAAGGTGAATGATAATTTGATAATCGGTGGCTACCTTGTCCCTAGATGCTACTGATGAGTTATGGAGAAGACTTTTCTTATTGTGAAAGTATACAATGCACGAAGAGCCACAAAGGATATCGGAGCTAGAAGCTTCCAGATAAATGAATAAGGGTTATTCGTGTTTGCTCTATATTCAGGCTTTTCACTCCAAATGCATGTGAAGCTGGTAAACCTGAGACCTTTGCACAAGTCTTTTCAACCTGGAATAATGAATACACCTGCCTGGACAAGAAAACCTCTGTTTAACACAGTGCTTTTTTCTCTTTCTTAATGTTATCTACTAAAGTGATCCCAGAAAGTGCTACCTGAAGCTGCAGTTGAGTTTTTTGATTATACTGGAACAGTGAAGGCACACCTAAAAAGTTCTGAATGTAGAGGACTTAATTATTATATTAATGTGTAAATAAGTAAGCAGTTACATGGATTAAAAAAAATAGTAGTGTTCTGTGTAAAAGCGAGCATCTCCAGAAATTATGCTGACTTTATATTGTGCAAGATAAAGGTCATTGATTGTTAAACCGCATTGTTGTATGAATACAATCCCAAAAGAAAATCAGACTAGTTGAATGGGACAGTAGTTGATCTTTTGCAGTTGTACAAACTTGTTGGAGATCACAGTTGTTTTCTGTTCCTTTAGCAATTAGCTTCGGGTACTGAAGTTGTTGCAATATTTGTTGCGTTAGGCATGTATGACGTCAGCTGGAGTTAAAGGTAATGTCCTTCATTTCAGTAAATTATTTAGTTCTCCTCAGTTGCTTATGCTATGTTGCCTGATCATTCATTTCCCTGAGTTTCTTTGGTCTTTACTGAAGTGAGAAAGGGAACTTGGTTTAGCTTTTCGGCCATCAGTAAAATGAGAGGGGACTAGAATACGGAGAGAAGATGAAGTTGATGAAGCACAAACTTTTAAAGCAGAACTATTTTTTCCCCAAAATAATTATATTATAAACCCTAACTGATATTGTGATACATAGTTGTCCTAGAATATACAGATATCTTCTGCTCCAAAAACCTTAAATATTGCAGAAGCTTTTGGAATGCTACCTAATCTTTCAACAAATGTGAAATTTCATTTTTATTATTTAAAAATCAGATATAAATAAAATGTATTTTTGTAATTTCTATGTATATATGTGCTGTATATTTATAGAAGTGACTAATCTGTAATACTCAGAAAATTTCCATAAACTCAGTGCAAAAGAAAAAAAAAAAGAAAAAAAAAAAGAAAAAACCCCTATTAATGGTCAGTATAAACATGCTATGTCTGGAGTACACAAATAGACATTTGTATGACTTGGATACAAAACAACCAAAGAAATTCAATCTTTCATATAAATATGGTCTAATAGAGGCAGACTGCTGTCTCAGTTACCTGTCAGCTAAATAATACTGATCTTATCGGTGTAATACAATATATACAAATTGTGTTGAATTAATAGCTGCCTAAGAGTATCACACTTTAAAATAACAAGTTAAAAATACTGGGCTAAACTCAGTGTGCCATAAGAAGACTAACTCTGTTTGGCTGCAGTGGCAACTCAACTCACTGAGAACAAGGCTGAGTTTCTCTGTCAGAATTCATCCATACGTACGAGTTTCACTAGAATCCCTTGAACAATATTCTGCTTATCTCACAGTCATTAAAATCACTGTAATATAAGTGCAGTAAGCACTTACTCTGACTGCAGAGTGAAGAGTGGCTCACTCTTATTTAGCCTAAGCTGGTTCATAACTTTATTAACCTAAGTTAGTGAAATCTACACTAAATCATGCCAGCCACATTTTGTATCTGCTTTATTATCTCAGTTTTTAAATCATTCTATTTACCCAGTGAAATTTTTCAAGTAGATAAGCCCTTTTATGCAATAGGAAGAAAATGGGCTGTGAAATAAATATCTGTATCTTGGACTCTAGTTTTACAGAGTTATCCTAAATCTGCAAGTATGGAAGCAGCAGCAATCACATGGATGGGGGTGCTGAAACCATATAGCTGGGAAGAGTGATGTTATGATGTATTTCCGAAAGATTCACAGGAGGTAGGACATACCAGATTATACAGCATCTTCAGGACACTTAGCTCTGTTTGTAAATCTGCAGCCATTCTAAAATTTAAGCAATTTAGTAGTCCTATCAAAAAATACGGGAGTGTATCTTAAACAATGGAGCATGTATCTTGCCATACTGGAAATTAAAATTTGGATATTACATAGATGTACAGGCTTGGAATGCCTGCATACAAACAAAGTGAACACATACCAAAAAAAAAAAAAACCCAGACAAACATTTAAGTAGCCTTCTAGAAAGAAAACCATTTCAGTAAAGTTAAACAAAGTACTCTTCATACTACCAAGGAAGACCTGTTTGCCTTTCAGAAGTAATTTGGTATTGTTATTGATGATGTGCAGTCCACTGAATATTTCCTGAACCATCACTCTGAAACCATTGTGGTGCACTTTATTCACAAAGACATCTTACATTCCTCACGGCTTTTTATCTTGTTTGTAATATGTTTCTGTATTTTTGTTTTGTTTTGTTTTGTACAAAGTAAGATTATATCAAGACAGTAAGGACATTCCTGGGAAAGAAAAATCATGCTGTAATATTTATAATGTTTGAGCACAAAGCAATGATAAAGTGAAAATATAGTGTATAAATAATTTGTAATATAATAAACATTTTGTATGGCTATAATTACAATATAGTTTTTCAATACTGATTTTAAAGAAGGAAGTATCCTTGGTTAAAGTTACAACCTCATGGACATATATTTATGCCATTTTTACTGATAAAAACTTAAGACTATTAAGGTTTTTCTACTAAATACCCTAGCGTTCTTTAAAATTCATTTTAAATGTTTCGGTGAAAATGCTGTTTTCTGTCTATAGAAATTCTGATGTTCTGACCACTATTTATCTTCAGATCTGTAAATCATCAGTAGAAACATCTGCAAATGAAACGCATGTAAAGCCACTTCTTGATACGTGTGTAATGACCACTGTCAGTACATATATTATGTGTGCCATTTATGAACATCAGTAACTTTATAGAGGACAAGAAGCTACTCTTGAACAGTCTTTTTTTTGGAAACAAACATGTTATCCAGATTTGAGGGAAGCTCTAGCAGTTGGTCTAGAATGTCAATATTTGTATCTGAAAATATTACAACTAGAACTTGATAAAAGTGCATGTAAATCTCATATACTGAAAAGGGGAATTTATTGTAAGTAATGATCATTTCTCTTTCAGGCTAACTTTGAAAAGGTGAGAGGTAAGAAATATAAGATAAGGATGTGAAGCAAGTAGAAAAAGCAACACTGGATTTATTGGCAGACTGTCTTGTTTAAGGGATGATACACACAAAGCTAACTATATATTTTAAGATGTCTTGACTGTTAAAGAATTAATTACCTTTTAATGTAGATTTTTAGTCCTGCATTGCAAATGTAAGAGCTAACTGCCAGCTTCTAAAAGTCTGAAAGAGCTTAAAAGCAGTAACTCTTCTGAGCTAGTGGGAGTCACTTCATTTTGCTGACCTTGTTCATCCTGTACACGTCTGAGCAGCTCCAAGTACTGTGTCCAAGGAAACTGTATATCAGTCATGGTCCTGACCTTGCATTTCCAATACATAACTAAATCCCTGTGGCTTCCCACACCTGACCAATAGGAAATGGGAAAAGAACAAGTGCGAGATGATAGGAAGAATATTAAGAGGTCAAGAGTACCTTGCTAGTCTGGAAACCATGGATCACCCAAACAATTCTATGATTTTATGATCTTCTACGGCATGTTAACTCATGCCTTCTAGAAAAGGGTTGTGTTTGGCAGCTCTTCTTGGCACAGTATATTGTCAGTGACTGATATGTGTAAATTAAGAGTCAGCTCTATTGCAAAAAGAGTGTATCCATTCATGCTTCCACTCCTTTGTGTAAGCCATATGTGTTCTCTGTGCAGCTCCACGAGTGTGGCATAATCAACATTAGTTTCCAGTTACTCAAAACAATCTCTTATAATAAAACAAGTTGTATGGCCTCTAATATATATTTTATTACATCACTGCGGGGGGAAGGCATGATAATGCAGTATGTTAGTATGTTAACACCATTAGCCTTTTTTTTTCCCAGGTTTTGTGAAAAAAGGGAAGGTCAGTCTGCTAAGATCAGGACTGCTCACTGGTGAGAGCACAGCAGCCCCTTGTGCTCAGTATGCTGGTGTGGCTGATGGAGCAGATCATTCCACTCACCACTTGCTGCCCCTCCACAAAAGGCTACAAGCACATCACTGTTCTGAGTAAGACAGACACAATTTTGAAAATAGGTATATAGTAGGTAGAATACAAGTAGATAATTAGATACTTCCACCTAATTCTTCTGTCCATTGCACCTAATACATCGCTCCAGATGCATTAGTGGTCTGCTAAGCAATTTTTACAAAGGAGTGTGTGTTCAAAGAGAAATTAATTACCTCAAGCTTGTTTACTAATAATGTTATTTATATATAGCACTGTGGACTTTGTACTAGTGCTATATGCCAAGCGGTAACTTATATTTTCTGTGCTATACTTTCTCTTCACAGGTTAATTTTTTGGACATAACTCCAGGAGTAAGATTTTTTTTCTTATCAAAATACTTAAAAGTTACTTTTTTTTCCATTTAAAAGGGTAGTCATGCAAAATAAGGATGAGTACTTGTTTAGAATGCTTTTTTAACTCTTGCCCTTCTTTTGTAAATAAATAATGTGCAACTCAACTGTGGAAATGAGGTTTATATAGGTCAGTAAATGAATTACATACTGTTCTTCCAAAGGAAGTTTCAAGATGGCCAAGTATAAAGGCAAACCTGGTTAATAGCAGAGAATATACTGAGAATAACTGCATTGATAAAAAATGCTTACTGTGCCCAGTGACTGAAAAGCCATCCAAAAAATGGCATCTGGTGATTCCTGTTATTCATGAAAATTTTCGCTTGGGCTGTTTACCAGACATGGGAGATGAGATGGAGACTTCAATGGGGCTCTGAGGTGGGCAGACTGCTCTATGTAACATATCTGCCCTTTGGGTGGCCCTTAGTACCAAGAGACCATAAAAACTATAGCCACCAAAGTGGTGTGGCAGAAAGGTGGTTTAGGTCCTGATCTTTAAAACTGCTGAGATGCCCCAAAATCACGTAACATTTAATCTTTTTCAAATCATCTTGAGACCATGCTCCTGTTGAAAATCCATAAGGATTTTCAATAGGAATATGGTATCATACTCATATTTATGTATATATATGTCCAAAAATAGTTTTTGGAAACTTGTTCTTTGGTCCCTTTATTTGTCTTCATCCATTTCAGGTTCCTTAAGAAGTACAGAGGCAAACAAAAAGATAGTTCTCAAAGCTTTTTTCTGTATGAGGCTCATGAAAGATGAGAAATGGGTTTTAAATAGTTTGGTGCTCATATGTATAGCAAATGTCTTGAAAATAATTCCAAATACCATGAATATATGTTTCAATAATTTGGTTTTAATTTTTTCATTTGTTAAATACAATTATTGTGCTAAGAAGTGCCTGGCTTCTCATGAATTACCATGCTCAATTCATTCCCAAGGAGTAGCTTGAAACTGTATTACATTCTGTAAGTAATTTTTTAACTTTATATAAATACACATTTACATATGATAATGGGTCAAAGGGATTGTAAATCATACAGAAAGTTGATTCCACTGAGTACAAAATTTAGAGAAGAGGTGATTTTTTCTTCCAAAGTGTGTCACTCGTCACTGCAGATAAAGGCTTTTCTATGCTCTGTAAAATAGTGCCTAAACAGTGTAACAGGCACTGGCATCAGTTAAAATCTTGGACAGTTGGCAAGGAGCACTGACTTTTGCAGCCTCCAATGGGACCTTTTAAAGAGTGCCTGTTTAAATTAATAGTATTTTCAAATATTAAACCAGAAATATGTGGGTCCTTAACTCTGGCTTTTTGCAAGGAATCAGTGGCTTTTAGGTCCTGCATTACCAGCCAAGTTAATTAATAGATACCTTCAGAGGTGATGCCAGAATACAGCAGCCTGTGCCAGGGATTCACCAGGATCTAAAAAGCAAGTGACTGTAGTTGTCCTGGGTTTAGCAGTAGCAGTCATTTTT